CTGCAAACGCTTGCAAAACGCTTCGCCCCAGTGATTGCACAGATGTGACGAGGCGGGAGGCGAGCATCATGAGAATCAGCCGGGTGGCTTTCTGGTCACATCCTCCCCAAGCCGCAAACGCTTGCAAAACGCTTCGCCCCAGTGATTGCACAGATGTGACGAGGCGGGAGGCGAGCATCATGAGCATCAGCCGGGTAGCTTTCTGGTCACACGCCCTCCCCAAGCTGCAAACGCTTGCAAAACGCTTCGCCCCAGTGATTGCACAGATGTGACGAGGCGGGAGGCGAGCATCATGAGCATCATGGTAGCTTTCTGGTCACATGCCCTCCCGAAGCTGCAAACGCTTGCAAAACGCTTCGCCCCAGTGATTGCACAGATGTGACGAGGCGGGAGGCGAGCATCATGAGCATCAGCCGGGTAGCTTTCTGGCAACATGCCCTCCCCAAGCTGCAAACTCTTGCAAAACGCTTCGCCCCAGTGATTGCACAGATGTGACGAGGCGGGAGGCGAGCATCCTGAGCATCAGCCGTGTAGCTTTCTGGTCACATGCCCTCCCCAAGCTGCAAACGCTTGCAAAACGCTTCGCCCCAGTGATTGCACAGATGTGACGAGGCGGGAGGCGAGCATCATGAGCATCAGCCGGGTAGCTTTCTGGTCACATGCCCTCCCCAAGCTGCAAACGCTTGCAAAACGCTTCGCCCCAGTGATTGCACGGATGTGACGAGGCGGAAGGCGAGCATCATGAGCATCAGCCGGGTAGCTTTCTGGTCACATGCCCTCCCCAAGCTGCAAACGCTTGCAAAACGCGTCGCCCCAGTGATTGCACAGAATGTGACGAGGCGGGAGGCGAGCATCATGAGCATCAGCCGGGTACCTTTCTGGTCACAAGCCCTCCCCAAGCCGCAAACGCTTGCAAAACGCTTCGCCCCAGTGATTGCACAGATGTGACGAGGCGGGAGGCGAGCATCATGAGCATCAGCCGGGTAGCTTTCTGGTCACATGCCCTCCCCAAGCTGCAAACGCTTGCAAAACGCTTCGCCCCAGTGATTGCACAGATGTGACGAGGCGGGAGGCGAGCATCATGAGCATCAGCCGGGTAGCTTTCTGGTCACATGCCCTCCCCAAGCTGCAAACGCTTGCAAAACGCTTCGCCCCAGTGATTGCACAGATGTGACGAGGCGGGAGGCGAGCATCATGAGCATCAGCCGGGTAGCTTTCTGGTCACATGCCCTCCCCAAGCTGCAAACGCTTGCAAACCCTTCGCCCCAGTGATTGCACAGATGTGACGAGGCGGGAGGCGAGCATCATGAGCATCAGCCGGGTAGCTTTCTGGTCACATGCCCTCCCCAAGCTGCAAACTCTTGCAAAACGCTTCGCCCCACAGATGTGACGAGGCGGGAGGCGAGCATCATGAGCATCAGTCGGGTAGCTTTCTGGTCACATGCCCTCCCCAAGCTGCAAACGCTTGCAAAACACTTCGCCCCAGTGATTGCACAGATGTGACGAGGCGGGAGGCGAGCATCATGAGCATCAGTCGGGTAGCTTTCTGGCCACATGCCCTCCCCAAGCTGCAAACACTTGCAAAACGCTTCGCCCCAGTGATTGCACAGATGTGACGAGGCGGGAGGCGAGCATCATGAGCATCAGCCGGGTAGCTTTCTGGTCACATGCCCTCCCCAAGCTGCAAACGCTTGCAAAACGCTTCGCCCCAGTGATTGCACAGATGTGACGAGGCGGGAGGCGAGCATCATGAGCATCAGCCGGGTAGCTTTCTGGTCACATGCCCTCCCCAAGCTGCAAACGCTTGCAAAACGCTTCGCCCCAGTGATTGCACAGATGTGACGAGGCGGGAGGCGAGCATCATGAGCATCAGCCGGGTAGCTTTCTGGTCACATGCCCTCCCCAAGCTGCAAACGCTTGCAAAACGCTTCGCCCCAGTGATTGCACAGATGTGACGAGGCGGGAGGCGAGCATCATGAGCATCAGCCGGGAAGCTTTCTGGTCACATGCCCTCCCCAAGCTGCAAACGCTTGCAAAACACTGCGCCCCAGTGATTGCACAGATGTGACGAGGCGGGAGGCGAGCATCATGAGCATCAGGCGGGAAGCTTTCTGGTCACATGCCCTCCCCAAGCTGCAAACGCTTGCAAAACGCTTCGCCCCAGTGATTGCACAGATGTGACGAGGCGGGAGGCGAGCATCATGAGCATCAGCCGGGTAGCTTTCTGGTCACATGCCCTCCCCAAGCTGCAAACACTTGCAAAACCCTTCGCCCCAGTGATTGCACAGATGTGACGAGGCGGGAGGCGAGCATCATGAGCATCAGCCGGGTAGCTTTCTGGTCAAATGCCCCCCCAAGCTGCAAACGCTTGCAAAACCCTTCGTCCCAGTGATTGCACAGATGTGACGAGGCGGGAGGCGAGCATCATGAGCATCAGCCGGGTACTTTTCTGGTCAAATGCCCTCACCAAGCTGCAAACCCTTGCGAAACCCTTCGCCCCAGTGATTGCACAGATGTGTCGAGGCGGGAGGCGAGCATCATGAGCATCAGCCGAGTAGCTTTCTGGTCACATGCCCTCCCGAATCTGCAAACCCTTGCAAAAACCCTTCGCCCCAGTGATTGCACAGATGTGACGAGGCTGGAGGCGAGCATCATGAGCATCAGCCGGGTAGCTTTCTGGTCACATGCCCTCCCCAAGCTGCAAACGCTTGCAAAACGCTTCGCCCCAGTGATTGCGCAGATGTGACGAGGCGGGAGGCGAGCATCATGAGCATCATGGTAGCTTTCTGGTCACATGCCCTCCCCAAGCTGCAAACGCTTGCAAAACGCTCCCCCCCAGTGATTGCACAGATGTGACGAGGCGGGAGGCGAGCATCATGACAATCAGCCGGGTAGCTTTCTGGTCACATGCCCTCCCCAAGCTGCAAACGCCTGCAAAGCGCTTCGCCCCAGTGATTGCACAGATGTGACGAGGGGGGAGGCGAGCATCATGAGCATCAGCCGGGTAGCTTTCTGGTCACATGCCCTCCCCAAGCTGCAAACGCTTGCAAGACGCTTCGCCCCAGTGATTGCACAGATGTGACGAGGCAGGAGGCGAGCATCATGACAATCAGCCGGGTAGCTTTCTGGTCACATGCCCTCCCCAAGCTGCAAACGCTTGCAAAACGCTTCGCCCCAGTGATTGCGCAGATGTGACGAGGCGGGAGGCGAGCATCATGAGCATCAGCCGGGTAGCTTTCTGGTCACATGCCCTCCCCAAGCTACAAACGCTTGCAAAACGCTTAGCCCCAGTGATTGCACAGATGTGGCGAGGCGGGAGGCGAGCATCATGAGCATCAGCCGGGTAGCTTTCTGGTCACATGCCCTCCCCAAGCTGCAAACGCTTGCAAAACGCTTCACCCCAGTGATTGCACAGATGTGACGAGGCGGGAGGCGA